AGAGAGGGGGGTGAATGATATTTAATTCTCCTATTCGATCGACCAGTTCGGGTAGCCCGTGCAGATCCACAGCCACAGTCAGATTCACTCTCTCTCTGATCTGGCTGCTGTGTAAGGGACTAAGGGTCCTACATACCCCCCTCTCCCCTCACAACCTCAACCCCCTTACCCTGCCCTGCCCTGGGCTTAGCTGCACGACGGTTCAACATGTGGAGGAGAGCACATGTATCAGTGCAGTGCAGTGCAAACAAAACACCGAACCGGTCGGCAACGCGGGACGTGACGCGTTGACTGTATGCTTTGGGGGGATGCGAAATTTCGCTTAGGGCACCACTCCTCACTCACTCTCTCACTCACTAGCTTACTCTATTCCTCTTTCTAATGTCTGTGTCTGTTGTACCTTCTATGGTTTGTTACTCCATCCCATTCAGCTTAGCTAGCCTACATAGCTATTTTGCGTAGCCAACAAGAACTTAAGATCGAAGCCCTACCTACAGCTCTAGTTCTTTTTCTAGAAGGGTTTCACCTGCATCGCCATCCATAATTACCATCCTCCTGCTTCTCTGCCTACCTGCCTACTTTCTTGCCCCGTGTTTGAACAGAAATAGCCTTTGCTTCAGCTGCGTTACAAAAAAACGTAAAATCTAAGCTTAAGGGGTTATGGTTATGCGCTGCAGGGTTAGGGCTCTGCTCTGCTATGTAGCTCTATTTGCTGCTGATGGATTGACGTTACACAAGAAAGCCGTTGCCGAGACACCACGGGATCGAGTGAGAGCCAGTGAGCGAGTGACACAGACGAAAAACCATTTAGAAAACCCACATGGAGACCCAATGGCAAAGAGATCGAGGATGTGGATCGTCGAATATTCCAGACGTCCCCTTTGCTCATTTCGGTTCACGATTTAACACTAGCATGTGGTGAGACCCCCTCCTCATCTCATCTCGCTGGCTGGTAGAATAGGTAGGAAGCTCGGCAGCGGATGGGGCGAACCCCCGGGATCTCGGTGGTGAGTTCGGCCTGGGGCATGGTTGATCCTGGTACTGGGGGAGTTTGTTTAATTCTCCTTCTTCTCTACTCTGACCAAGCTAGCCGAGAAGGTAGAATCTAATCTCCAAAACACAGGAGAGATAGAAGAACTAGAAGGAGGTAGGTACTATTGGAAACCGCCAAGTAGGTTAATAAGGTAGTACTAGTAGTAGTAGTACATGTAGTAGTAGGGTAGATGGCAGTATCAAGATGAGGATAAAGGAAGCCAGGAAGAACAAGACCTGGTTCCTGGGTATGTAGATATTGGTAGATCTCGTTTACACAAAAAATACGCAATCTTGAAGGTTGTTTCCCCCCCTTTGGTGGTGCGGCGCTGTATGGATGTCCCTTGTGCTGTTGTGGCCATACATACGCTCACCGGAGAGCTGGAGGGATGCGCGCGAGTATTGTGGCGCACGCACGCGCGGGGAGGGATTCTGGGGGGGGGGGGGGATAGTTTCAGCTGGTTTTGTTCAATTCGCTTGCGATTGATGTGCAAGAAACTACAGAAATGAGAGGGAAACAAAAAACGGGGTTATATGGTGGAAACAAGTTTCGGCGCTCCTTACACGCTGGAAGGGATCATGGAGGCTGACGCGCGCCTGGTTGCCCATCGTGCCTCGGTATGTAGTTCTGCTGGTAATTCTCGTCCAGTACTGTGCCAATTCTAAATATTTACTTTGGCTTGGAGCTGGCTGGATAATTGCTGCGTAACTACGCACTTGAAGGATGAGTGAGTGCAAGTGAGTGAAGCGTGAGCAACTTTCCCGCTGTCAGCGGTCTTGCCTAGCTTTCGGGCGTAGTCGTCTTCCCGCAGTACTGGGGAGTGGGGTTGGGTGACGAGTACGTACGGCGTGGACTGGGGTAACCCATGGTTGATACTCTACACGAGTAGAATGCTGACCTACTAGAGCTAGCTAGAAGAGTAAAGAGAGTACGAGTACGTACCTGCTTGTAAAGTATCTACTGAACCCCACTTTAGAGTACTACGTTGCAATACATCAACCCAGTCAGAATGCCCACATAGAGTATTTCTGATCGTTGGTAATAATTCAGTCCACCTTGGCTATCTACAATATTAATATTGTACCTACTTATGAACGTAGTCTAAGTTGTAGAAGTTACTATTAGCAATATTCGTTTAGTAGCTAGCATAACTCATAATCTCTCGATCCTCCACTGCACTTCCTCTCTCCACCTTCCTCCCCAAAAGAGACGTTGAAATCGAAATTACAAAGGGCAACCCGCTGACATGTCAGACCAGAGCAGCCAACCGTATCTACTAGCTAGCTAATAAGCTAACCTCGAGCCGTTTCAAGCATCCGCATGAACCGAGCTCCCGTCGAATTTCGGTGCGCAATCATAAACCTGTTCACCGGGACATTGGACATGTCATGATATTTCCCGAGGTGCTAGAGAGGAATATTCTATTCTCCCGAGGTGGGGGCTGCTGGAGGGGTGGTATGCTTTTGCCGTCCATATACGGTTGATCTGGGATTCGAATTAATATTCTAGTACCTAGTGAGGTACTCAGTGTCTAACAAGTAAGTATGATCATGATAGTACTACCTAGTCAAGGTTTAGATCACATCACGAAGTCGCAGAATCAGGAGTGAATTATTACTGTGCCGCCCGCCTAGATACACTGTAGTTAGCTGGCCGGTCATTCATGGTGGCCAGCGCGCTGCACATGTAGGTAATGTAGGTACATGAGATTGAATCATGAACTATTGTGAATCATGAACCTCCTCCTCCCTCGAACCATGATTGCGAGTCATAGCTATATATAATCCTATGATCACAATCATTTCCACTCTATGTAGCTCGAGCGTCATTGTTATATGTCTAACTCGTTATTATAACTAGCTTAATTCCCAATACCATATTACCAACATAACCACGCCGTGGGGAAAAAGCTTCTAGCTTATCAGACGATCTCGAGCTCGAAGGGCGAGGGCGGCCGGTTTTCCGCGACCGACCCCACGGGCTTGGGTTCGAGCATGAGGCACAGAAAAGAAGGAAAAATAATTAACCCGAGGGTGTTATGTGTGTGGGAAGGAAAAAGCCTAGCGTAGCGTACTCTTCTAGACAGAACTTGTAATTAATTGTTTGTGCTCTATCACGTAGTACTAACTAGGTAGGCCCTTGAGTTTGCCATGTGCGCGACCTGCGGGTGGTACAGTTTTTTTTTTTTTTTTTTTTTTTTTGCTTTAGGGCTTTCGAATCTGGCTTTCGTGTTTCCTGAGATATATTGTTCTTTAATTCTCAACGTCTGCTAGTGCCGTGATATACAGTTGTGCATACATACTTCATCATCATGATCTTGAGTCTAGTACCGGGTATTTTGTTGATATTTCTTTAACCTCCCGATTGGTGTTGGTTCTTAAACCTCTATCTCCTCTATCTTCTCTATCTGTTCTAGTAGCCCACGCCACCCCATGCCGTCCCAGTTGGACCCTCATAAAGCAAAGTAGATCTGAGACCACTTTTTTGATTTTTTTCTCCCTCTTTCTAGTGCTTTGCTTGTTTTGTTGTCCAGACCCTAAACTGCTAGTGCGTATGCATGTCTAGCAGCCATGAAATCCAAGCTGATAATGTATTCTACCAAAAATACCCATCGGAGGAGATTAGAGTCCACGAAGTATGTAGTTGGGTACTATCGTGTAACTACTACTACCACATACCACTTAGAGTTGATGTTCCAGAGGATCTGTAGGATAGGGGTCTGTTGCTATCTACACGTAGCGGGTTAGTGGTTACTCTAATGTAGAAAAGCACTTTGTCTTGCAATCTATCTAGAACTCTAGCTGAGGATTTCGATCACCCACAGAACAGGAAACAGCATGCGTTTTGCTACTAAAAGTATTTACCTCCTCTCCTCTTTTCGGCCCCCAAAGTCCTGCATACAGTGGAGTAGCGAACGAACAAGAGAAAAGAAAGAAAAAGCTCTTTTTAAAGAATTCAAATCATATCTAGAGTGCTCTCTAGCTTCATACCTAGCTACTCTAGCTAGCTAAAACGCACGCAGCACAGAATTAACCTGCATATCCATTCATTCCTCTAGGGTTCGATTCGCCCAAGTCGAGTTGCGGGAGAGAGGGAAGGGAAGGGGTGTCCCACTATTTTTAACGTGCCACTTAAGAGCGACGGATGGGATCTGCTGCCAGGGGTGGTGGTGTGTGTGGGAGAGAAGAAAGAAAAAAACAAGAAAAAGATCACCATGGGGAGCTGACTGGGATGGGGAGTGGGGTGGTGGAGTGGTGGAGTCGGTTCAGGAGAGAGAGTCGAGAGGGAAAGATGGAGTTGAGCATGAGTGATCAGTAAGTATAACCACACGCTAGACAGAATCGGGGTGTTTCCCGAAAAAGCGTAGCTCACTGACTGGTGGTGGCAGCCAATGATGCTTTTTTTCTCTCCTTTGCGTGCGTCAACTCTATTTTGGTTGTGTGCCACACAAGGGTAAGTTCTTGCTTGCTGCTGCAGTGGAGTTGAGAGGGGAAAAGGTCGACAGGGGTGGCAGCGCAGTGGGAATAGGAATAGCTTGTGGAGGGGGTTCGCTGGTTGGTCGGTTGGCTGGCTGTACTGGGCGGGCAGGGAACTTGCAGGCAGAGGAAAAAAGCAGGCAGCGAGCAGGCAGGCACACACACACACCACCAATCCAATCCACTCCACTCACTCGCCTTCGCTCTTGGGAAGCCGCACTGAGCTTTTGTGTTTAAAGAAGCCCTCGCCCTCCCCCACCAGGAATCTCGAATCTCACCACCTCACCACAGAGACATTATTAAACCACACAAGCCAGATCAGATATCCACCCTTCGGATTCTACAATAGTCTTTGTTGATCTTTAGAATTAAAGATTCTTTCTGAAATATCTTTTATACAAATTTAAGAGCCTCTTTGTTACTACTTTACTTTAGTAGCTTTTCCATACATCACATCATACATACACAACAACAACCACATAACCTTCAGAATGCTCGCTATCCACTTCCCAACCTCACCCATCGTTGAGTCGCACTCACCTTCACCCTTCTCATTCCCCTCATCACCTGCCCACCACCACCAACAGCAGACATTCTCATCACTGTCATTCGCTCCTCTGCCACTCCAGAAGAAGCCCGCTGCCCGACCAAAGCTCTCGCTCAAGATCACTGCGGCAGACACCCGAACATTCGGTTCAAAGTCGTCATCTGCTCTCAAAGCACCCCTCACAGCCGGCCCCTTGAGCCCCAACGCCCTCGCCACCATGCGAAACACCCAGATGAATGCCCGCCGTCCCACCGGCGAGGTTCCCCAGCTTTCAATGCCAGCTGTCCAGTCATTCTCATCCTCTTCATCCTCTTCTTCAGATGAGTGTAGCACTCCAGTGGATAATGATGACATGCACTCAGAGATGAAGGAAAAGAGCCGAAAGCGCCGCTTCCAGCGTGCATCTCACTCATCTCGTGAACTCTTGGTCAGGACTTCTCACCCAGTTGCTCCTTCAGCCATCCCGTATAACATCGAGTTGCCAGCGCCTCAGCCGTCAAAGCGTGCCACCAACCCCTCGGCTCGCCGTGTGCACTTTGCGGAGGCCCACATTGTCATCCCTGCCGTTTCAGTGCTTGTCACCGAGACATACGATAGCGCGGATGAGAGCTCCAGCGATGATTCATCGGACTCCGAGGCCGAGGAGGCACCAGTAAGAACTGTGATGGAGCAGATGGCCGAGATCAACAAGCTAAAGAGCAAGGTTGAGGCGATGGATATGATGATGCAGACACCCAATGGCGCTGGCGAGAAGGAGGAGAAGGTTGGCGGCGAGTGCAGCAGCTGGATGTTCAGGCTTGGAAAGATTGAGTACGACGAGATCTCGAAGCAGGAGGCATCGGAGCAGTGTTCGACGCCTGTCGGGTTCGGGTTCGGGTCCGGGATCAAGTTTTGAGTTTTGGGAGGACACAGGAAAAGGAAAAATTTGCTTTGGGAGGGCGTTTGATTTCAGCTGGAGGGCTTGCTGGATGGGGTGTACTATAATGGACCATTATGATACTGGACTGGTGGGGGGCTGGATTGGGCTTTTTCTTTTATTCAATTCTTTTGTATATCTTATTTTCCTTTCGAACTGACTATTCTTCATCTTTACGATGGCCTTTCTTTTGTTTTGGCTCTTTTTTTTTCTTCCTTTTACTATTGGGTTTTCGGGGTGGGTTTGGTCTTTTTATTATACGAACTGGTATTCTTCTTTTTTTGCACATTCTTCATAAAACCACCCTATACTTTACTTTCTTCTTTTGTTTTACTACTACTACTTCTACCTTTACTACAAACTACTTCATTAGTTAGTACTGCTACTACCAATTATCAAAAAACTACCTCGACTGGTACTTTTTTTTGGCTATCATCTTACTGGTCTTCCGTTCGCTTGCTTGATCGTGTGATATGTACTATGCCGTGAATCCATTCGCTCGCTTCCTTCCTTACTCTTCGGGCGCTTAGTTACAATTGGTGGCTTGCCTTTTCTCGCCTTTTCTCTTTCTTGCTTTGCCCTTTGCCTTGCCCTTGACCCCTCACGCGGATTACTTTTTTAACCGCTTTTCTCGTATTTCTGCGATGAGCAAACATAGTTTTTTCCCCATGGCCGGCCAAGATATCAATATTATATATTATATATGCATCCTATATAATCATAATCTATCTACTATATCTAATAACTAAGCGACGACAATAAATAGCAATATCCCCCATCCGAACCACCACCAGCTGTGCGGCGAACCAGCGGGTATGTAGCTGGTACATAGTCTACTACCCCCTACTCTACCTGATCCTCTACTCTACCCCCTCTACATAGAGTACCTCTACTCCACCTCTACATCGACTCTACTCTGCGTTCAGCCGGGGGTGAGAGAAGGGTGGTGGGCGGGTAAAATCAAGTAAATTGCATAGCCCCATTAATAGATTTTTTTCTTCTTCCGTAGTGGGAGTGGGGTACCACAACCCCCTTTTCTGGTTTGGCCGCCGTTGTGGTTACGTGTTACATGCCTTTCTACTCGTGGTGTTTAGTGAGCCTATGTAGCTATGTAGAGGGAGAGCGAGAGGGAGGGGGGGAATTGTGTAGGTTTAGGTTTCGGGGGATACGTGAGCGGGCGGACTTCGGGGTCTACTTTTGGGTGTGTGTACGTACGGGAACGGTATTGTGTCGTATTTTTGTGCACTGCTACTGGTACTGGTACTCATCGGTGGAATGGATGGGCGATAACTACATGAATGAGGTAGAGTACTGGTTTTGTTTCTGGCGGGCACATACCGTGCTGTGTGTATCTTACTCGGAGTTGAAAATATGGTGATGCAGTAGGTACAGTACCGGCCGGTGTTTTTTTTTTGGAGTTTGAGTTTGGCCGTAATTGTTAATAGACGGAAATAGTTAATGTACTACTACTACTCTACATTTGTCACTCGGTATCGAGTAGGTACAGTGGACTAACTAGACTTTCTAATATTTGAGTTTCCAACTTACCGGCTCGCTAACTAGCGCACAGGCCTAGAGGTAATCCAAATCATTGATCATAGGGTTAGGTTAACTTCCCCTACCAGTCCAGTCCCAGATCCAGCAAAAGGAAAAAAGAAGAAAAAGAACTCTCCGACTTCCAAATACTCTTCTTACCTGTCCTCTTTTTTCTCCGGGGAGCCGAAAGGAAGAAAGTGCCGTTGCCGCCCTACGTATCTTCAGGGACCCCCCCGTTTTTCTCATCATGAATATGTATGTATGTATGGCGCCGGCCGTAGAGTACCGGCATAACCTATGGCTCTTAGCCTCTATATACAGATAATTATTAGTAGGATCACGATCTTCAAGAAGCTCTTTGATGTTCATCCCACGTTTTCTAGAGTAAGATACCCAGGAAGCGGGTCCCCATAATTTCTTAAGCGGGACAGGTAGCCTGTGTACCCTACCTACATGTACTCTACTCTAGCTCTAGTTACATTATGTATCTCCACAAATATAATCGAGACAAGAAACGGCATGCAAAAAACATATACCCCGCACTTTTGTCTCTGTTTAATTCCTTCTACATTGAGTGTCTAGGCTCGCTTCACTCCGGCCCCCCGGCCGGTACACTCTACCAGCGAGTAGAGTATGTAGGTACTGTCGTTCACGGGGTATTGGCGGGTACTGGGTGTTGGCGGATAAGACTAAAAAGAGACAGCCAAGCCAATTTTTGGCTTCAATCCGCCAACACCCAGGATCCGCCAATACCCCGTGAACGACAGTACATACTCTCCAAAATTGCAAATTGCCGATTGGGCTGGCTGGCTAGCAGCTGGGCATGGGGGGAAGGATGGGAGGGATGTTATGGGACGGCATCTTGTTGGTCGTTGGAATCTAAACTAGCCAGCCGGCCAATCGAATCGATCAGAGAGGGCTCACTAGTTAGAAGGGGGAGGTTAAACTCATTGGAGGTTATTGTTGGTTCCGTCTCGCGCAGGGTGCAGCAGCAGAAGCAGAAAGAAAAGAGTCGTTGGCAATTACCTACGGAGTTAATTGGTGGGGTTAATTTATTCAGGGTTTCTATTTCTATTTTACATATGATCATGATGGTGGTGGGTTTCTAGATCATCTCTCACGCGGACACAAGAGAAAAATAATTTGGGGGGTCAATATAGAAGTAGAAGTAAAACCCTACCTATCCTTGGGGTACTGGCCAACATCTCAATTGAATCAAAACCAATTCAATCAATCGGCTTTACAGACCTACATAGTAAGTGACGTTCGTAGTGGGGGCCGAGATGAGATATCATCGATTCTAACGTGCGAGCGTATACCTAATTCAGTAGATCAGAGTGAATCTCAGTACCTACTATAGGAAAAAAAAATTATCCACGGTTTACCCACATCCACCTCTCCGTTGTCGTCTTCGGGACATTCGATTCTCGTACGAAAACCCACAAATCCGCAATTGAGCGAATGACAGGCAGGCGAGCAGGGCTACAGATCTCGGCGCCTAACCGTCTTACTGATCCTCCTTTAATTCCGCGAAACAAACCCTAACCCACCCTCATATGATGCTCATCATATGAGGCTCCACCAAGCAAGCATTCACATGTCGAGTGCCGCGGCGTTGGAGAGTGCGTCGAGCCCCAGCCAATAGAGGTTATTCCTCCCTGGCAGCATGCTGCCCCTTGCGTGAGAGCTCCGGGTGGCTCAGCAGCACTGCAGGCGGTGAAAAGCAGGAACAAACGTAGCCACAGGTTAGTACCTACCAGTTACAGGGACCAGGAACAGATCCTGCGGTGGCGGTGGCACCCTCGGTAATCTAGATCTGCTGTGTCTTGTTTGTCCGGTCTCCCCGAACACTTGCTGAAAAAATGTCATGTACCCTAGATACCTGGTAGCATCGGATCCGGTGCGGTGATGAGTAGGTGGGCGTGTTTTTTTCTCTCCCTCGGTGGCACTTCTCGGCGATGGAATATTCTAAATATTCTTTCAACAGGCTGGGCAACAGCCGGTGGAGATCGACAAAGATCTACACTATGTCTAGCAACAAATGCGAAATAGGTACCGTACATACATGCAAAAGTCCTTACCTACTCTACACAGAGAATCATGTTCACCGTGGAACATACTCTATATTGAAGGGACGTTGCAGCAGAATTGCAAACACGGCGACATGAGTCTTTAATTGTTTAAATGTAACGAGATGTTTATCGAGATCTGGATTTATGACGTCAAGTCAGATCTTTTACATGAACCCTGCATCGGTGATAATGCAGATCAGTTTGTAAGGCTTCGAGAGGTTGCTTAATATGATCTGCACCCTGACCTTGCTTTGCCTAGTTGGGGTATTGGAAGAAGGACTTACTCTAGTCGGCGGTTATGACTGGAACGGTGTTTTTAAGAATAGATGCGTAAGAGCGAGCCTGATCATGATTCTCATGTTTTAATTTCCAATGTTAGAACCTCGCGCGCTTCCAAGACTCTGTAGCTGACTCATCACCTTTCTTGCCTTGCGTCGAAAAGACTGGTATATGTTATCTCAGCTGTAAGTTATGTATCCGCAGTGCTTATTCTCGGCGAATACAGTTGTTCAATCCGGGTCAATAAACTCCAGTAATGTTTGGCAGGTTTAACAAGGGAGAATACTTTTTATCAATTATTCGTCTCATGTGACCGAGTGATATTTCATGATTGCATGGTTATTGTAGTTACTACAAACCATTCCCCATGCGAGCCCCACGATATCTGCAATTTTGATATCGAGGCCAAATAGAACTCGGGGGTACCTGTATAGCCCCGGGCTCGTAACCCACGAGCTCGGAATGGCTTTAGACCTGCTCTACTAAGGCGTTCAGTAAAAAGTGTGAAAACAGGCTCACAACCCTTTCACTGAACGCTTAAGTAATCTATTCAGAAAGGTCAATCATTCAGTCGGAGATATTTCTTAACAGACAAGCGCACGGAGACAGACTTCCGACGGATGCTAGTTCTCCTGGGGATACTGTAACTTCCTAAATGGATGATCTTATGTACTGATAATATTTCGTTAAACTCATACCGGATACTCAAAATCATGTTGCTGAAACCCTTTATCAAAAGAACATAGCACAATATGTGAGATATGTGCCCGGAAAAGTTGCCAGGAGATTTGAGATGGCTTAAGTTTGGATTGAACGCCCATTAGGATCTGTATGATTTGATATAAAGCATTCCAGATTTGTAATTTCCTAAATGGTGTGGGGATTCCTTAAGTTTCGATGTATAAACTGTTCCTTTATATACCGTAATGTTCGCGGGGATTATATTCAGGTGTATCCAACCCTTGATGAACGTAAATGATGGGTATTGTACTCTATTATCCTAATAACTTCTTGACTATTTATGATGATTCATAATATATGAAGCTGTATAATTGTTGATGTGAGAAGTCCCATAATATGTTCCCCCTTTCAGAAATTTAGGGCACAACATTACCCGGTAGACCGGGCTTTGTCGGTTTTATCTAAGATATCCAAACTTCTAGTCATGTGGAATAGAGAACGCTTGGCTTATTCAGTTTCCTCTTCTTGATGCTATTTCCGACGAGATGATACTGGTTGAGGGGCCCCCTCGAAGCCTACTTAACGTTGGGAATTGTTCAGTCGTACATCAGGGGTTGAGAACTTAACCCCCTCTGGTCATTAGGTAAGTATATCACTGCAGACTCTTTTGAGGAAAGGTAGTGCAGATGTGCACGGGCCTTGGAAAGCGACTGTTCTCTGCCTTCTCAATCATGAGGTAAAGCTTATCAGAATCCTCTCATCTTGCAAGACTTTCTTCCCACTTGTCACCGCTTTTGAGAAAGTTGGTAATGTGGCAGTGGTTGGGTGGAGGGGTTTGGAACGTTGGATGGTGGTGCATGAAGCCTCCAAGGGGAAACTGATCATGAAAAGACGTACTGTGATGATGACGGGAAAAGGAGAGACTGCATTAATATGAAAACCGGAATAACTAGCATGGCTCTGGATAGAAGAGGTGTTTGTCCCTAGCTAGTGAGGTGTCAAGATGGATGGTGGAGATTCGGGTCGACACCATCTACGTAACAATAGCTATAGTGAGGACCGCTCTCAGCTACCCGCACCTACACCACTACGTGACAATGTCATAGATGTCTCCAAGGCTTTCTACACCGCAAGGTTTGGGATATTCTTGCATTTTCTCAGATAGATGGGATAGTGTGGTCGACAAGACAAGTTAACTCGAGTCCTCGAGCTCCCTCCACTGCTCGACTTGAAAAGCTCGAGCTTTTGAGGTGTTATTTTAACCATACTAAAAATGCGGATAATATCCTTGGTTATTGATTTTACGAAATGTGTCGGTAGGAAACCCTAACCCTGGAAACATCCATTCCAATGAAGAGATCGATATCACCTAGAATGACCTAAGGACAAACATCTGAGACCACTGAAAAGCTCGAGTGGCTCGAGCTGCACTCGAGCACTTACAAGTCGAATCGAGACGAGTAGCTGATATCACGAGCCGATTCGAGCTTTTCCTCTTGCTCGTCTCGAACCGGCTCGCCGACCACGCTAAGATGGGATCTCGCCAAAATGCATTTAACACACCAAACGACCCGGACTACCACCTATCTTGTGCGCGATTCCAACCTCTGCAGATGAGCGATGTAATATCAACGTTTTATAGAAATTTAGTAAACACATGCGCACCGTACCGTTATGCTGAACATGGACGTTATTATATGTAGCTAATTCTGATGTTAAGCTTGCTGCTCAGGATAGGCTTGGAATATTACAGCCTACCGTACCCGCAAATACTGGCTACCCGGTATGTCAATCGACATTCCCAGATGGTTTCCATATTAATTGACCGCCCACGAAGTTTCAATACATACTCCCATCCACTGAACCGGAAGGTACCAAATAGCCAGGGCTATATATGTAGTTCGGTTCGTGGATAGCTAGTGTTCGTTATTCGCCACACAACCGTGTTAAAAACCCCGTATGTGGGTTTTTTTTACCTTCAAAATTATATATGGCCTCTTAAGAACGATGGATTGTAGTCTCGTCTCGCCTGTTGGATATACAGCTCAATAGGCGTGAATATAAAGTCGAGTGATAGTACATGATTATCTCATCCTGTGCGATGGACCAAATGCATCCACAAGGAAAGTCGGTTCTAATAACATCAAGATTTAAATTTAAATCCATGTCTATCTGGCCTATACATCACGTGTGATTGGTCTGGTGTGAGAAGCCGCTCCGGCGAGATGATAATATTACCTTGCAATCGATAAACGTCACTCTGGTGAAGCATCTCTGTGTTTTTTTTAGACCATCGTGCGAACGGACGGCTTCTCGAGACATTTGAGGCATTTCAGAGAGATTACCATAGACATAACTGTGGGTCAGTAAAGGGTGAAACATAAAATGAAGTGTAAAGACCCTACCATCTATTCTATAGGTATATCTCAGTGAAGTTTTCCAAAGAGCTAGTCAATATTATCATATCTTCTTTGGCACCCAAATTTCGAGGTAGATTTATATCTATCGGGGCGAACCGGCAAGATAACTCGTGGGCCATAGCACCGGGGCCTGATTAATATTTTAGTGGCGTTTTCACCTACGTACGTCATTCGGTAGGTCGGATATTCTGATACCTAAATCATTATCCCCCTGCTTGAATCGTTTTTTTATTTTATTTTTGCGTCCTCCTCTCCGTCTTTGTTATTCTGTTTTAAGGCCAGAAATTCGCTAGTGATGATCACCGAGTGATTTTTAATGACTAAAACGAACGCTAAACTTAGGCGACCACATAGAGTTGTCTAACAACCGTGGGAATCTTAATCAATTAATCCTAATTACGACTCATTGTGGATAGTATATCGTTTTGAATACTAGAGTCAGGCCTTCTATTACGTCGGCTGACTCCATTAGCAAATATTGGTAAGAATCTACTCATATTTCATATGGCAATAAGCTATGCAAGACTCGATAGCGATGATTAGAAAAAAAGAGACATAAGAAGCCAATTAAATAGATGGTTAGCCGTACCAAGCAAAAAAAAAAGGTCCTTGTTTCATACCCCCATATTCGAAAATAAAATAAAAACCCATGTAATCATTGAAACATAAGAAAGGAGAAAAGAAGGAAAGAAGGAAAAAAAAGAGGAAGAAACGCTTGATACTCCAACATGCAACTTTAAGTTCTCACTTTTGTCCTTTGATCTTTCTGATTTACTGTTCCCACTCTTTTCCTTTCCCCTTCTTCTTCTTCCCAAACATTTCCCTGAACAACCCACCAAAGATCCTCTTCCAGATAGCAACTCCACCACCCAAGCCCTCCTTCCTACCTTTCAATGTGGCGCTCCCAACCTTCTCGTCTAGCTTATCACCACCAATCTCCAACATTGTCTCAGGCGTTACCTCATGATTTCTCTTAAATAGGTGTCTTATTGCCTTGCTGGTCTCCCTCGAGCACCTCAACTTGTCTTCCACTCCGATAATCGCATGGCATACTGCCCTAAGATCTGGAGTAGTCTTGTCGAAGATCTCCAGAAATATCGCGGCAGCTCTCTCAGGCGTTGTGTCCAATTCCTCGGATAACAGCCACGAATACTGTGTTACGAAGTCCTGCACAGTCATAGCCGCAGGGTCCCACCCCAGACCATGGAGGAGGGTTTCGAGGTATGCTTTCAGGGCGAATGCTGTTGCAGCCGTGGAGAGGATCTTTCCAGCGGGGTATTGATCTGCTGGATGCATTGGTAGTGGGGTAGGCGGGGGGAGAAGATCGCGGGCAATCGAACGACCGGTGGAACGACCTGTGGACCTGGAGGTGGGGGTAGAGAAAGGAGTGGCGGGCTGAGCATTGTGAATGGGGGTCATTCCCGCTGCTATGGCGGGGCCAGGGCCGCGGCGGCGTGGAGATGCCATTGTAGGTGATGAGTTGGATACTCGGTGTGTAAAGAGAGGTATAGGTATAGGGGCGTGGATTGAACGCGTCCCTTACTTTCTTCCCTTTCTAGAAGCTATAGGTATGTTTACTCAACAGGGGAACCGCGAGCTTCTTTGTGTAGCTACAAGCTAGCCAAAGTGTAGCCTTATATGCAAGCAGTCTGTGATGTCTGGTGTTAGCTCGCTCATCTGCAGTCATCTGTCTGTCTTCTGTAGCCACCCGAGGAGCTGGAGACGGAGACGTAGAAATCGAGGCATAAAATGTAACAAACCTCGACAAGAAAGACTCGTATGCTATATAAATAGGTACTAGAAGACGTATGGCCGCGATTCGTCACTCGTAAGGGGGAAACGAAACGAAACAACACGATATAAAACTCCTCCTGAACCTCAGCTTCGGTGTTGGGGGGGTTGGGGGAAGTTAAGCAACACAAACAAGCTAAGGAGCGAGTATGTACTATTGAGATAACGCTACAGAACGGGCTACAAGGAGATAACTGGCCGGCCAACGAGAAAAAACCATGCGGGCTAGCTAGGTTGACAGCAGCTCAGGGCCCGCATTATGGTTGGTGTGCAGTGTTGTGCTGGCTGCTCTCGGTGGCTGCAAGGGTGCGCCAGAGGTATTGCAATTTGCTGTGTTTTATATGATGAGCTTTTGAGACATAACAATTACAACAGTTGGTCAAAAAAACCGCGAAGCAGCTCATCGGCAACAGATTAAAGGATATCCAATTCGACTGCTCTTTTTCCTCCACAGACTCGCTTCTTCTCATTGTCTCTCTGTCTACCATCTCTCCATCTTGCTTTTGTACCCATGGATCCCACTTAGAAACCCGACAAAAAGATTGGCGAGAAAGACGGGTTATCCCACCCTTGCAACGGGAACCTACCGCGCCCGATGGGTGGATACTGTGTAACACTGAGACTCGCCCTACTGCGAATTGGGAGCAGCTCGCGATTCTAGTTATCGGGCTAATGTTCGATATTGACATAAGGGCGCAAGCCAAGCGAGGTCCGCATAATCTAACACATCGTGGGCATCGTCGATAAAGATACCAATTTTCCTAAGCCAATGGTTGTAAACGGGGCATCAACTGATTGACTGAAAATAATAATTCAGTGATGTGCGTGGTGGTTCAGCTATGACGGGGCGGCCGGCCACGTCGTATCCAGCTGTTCCCCAGCAAGTGCAGAGTTTGTAGACATCTCTACACACCATTCTCCTCGGACTACAGTGGGAATTCAACTGCGCATTATCATGTAAATGAGCATTCGGCCGTGTCATAGAGGAGGAATAGGCACAAAACTAGGTGCGTGGTATGAATTGATCACTGGAAAGAGATTAAATAGCTGCCGTCAATGTCTCGACATTGGTCCCTGACTTATCGACACAATGTCACAGTCTATCACTCGACGACCGCCGTTCCCCTTGCACTCCTATCAGCTTTCGTTTTGCGATCCCAATGAGTACTATCGACCGCCTAAACACAGTCCAGATAAAACTCCCGGGGGGGGGGGGGATCATTAACGATAGTTCAGCTTTTATACCGATACAGCTGAGGTGAACTACCTAACCTTGTGTCTACGGTTAGGAAGGGGGATAGTCAAACGGATGAATAGGAGAAAAAAACAGGAATCGATCTTGTCACACCCGCGAGTAAGGGTATATATATTGCCGTTCTCTAAGCACGCTAGCGATAACTTTAATTTGACCACATTCCTTCGATCATACAACTGCATTATTTTGTTAAGATACGCCTAAGGATATCAGAGTTACTGGCGAGAAGAACCTGGAGTTACATAAAACGGAACCCTGGCCATCAATTATATAGTATCTCTAGCCCCAACTTTTCCACCACTACCGGCAGTACGGAAAGCGCATTCTGACTATTAATTCCTTCAATCACCTCTTCCGTGAATTTTCCATATGCCGCTATCGCCGCTGGATAACCATTTGTAAAATTTCCGGGCAGAAAGGGGTCTAGTCATCGTCATCTTTTCATCAGCCGTGGAGCAAAAAGAGGAGTGGGAAGAAAGAAAGGGATTGCCTACAATCAGTGCCCGTCATCAACCTCCCAGCAACTCCAAACTCATCCAGCGCCGCTAGTTGCGGTCTGGAAACAGTACTAGCCGTATCAAAGAAATAACCTTTGAACTGGTCTAATACGTCTTCAGATCGATAACCCCCAAAGGCAGGCCTCTCCACTGTGTATGCTACTCTCTCCGCTAGGAATGGAAGAACACCGCCCCCATGAGAGAATATCATGTTGATATGTTGATATCGGGCCCGTGTCCCGGTAAGGAAGAGGTTCATAATGGCTCGCATGGTGTCGAACGGGAATTCAATCAACGGGGGTGCATATCCCAAAGTGACATCTTTCCAGCAGTTTGGTACAGTAGGATGTACAAAGGTAGTCAAGTTGCGGGTGCTTAGAAGGTCGAATATAGGGTCGAGGTTGGAGTCGCCGAGGTAAACCCCGTCGTGATTTGTGAAGAGGCCTACACCGGCGAAACCCAAAGTGTCCATACAATACTACAGAACGAATCAACATATATCCTGACTTGCAGTTGAAACTTTTATAACCTCAATCTCCTCTAATGCAGCCTCCACATTTGGTAGTGGTAAAACACAAAATGCACCAATTCTCCCCTGGTACAGTTCCATCAGCTCAAAAAGATAATCGTTCAACCTTCTCGTCAAGTTCGCCGCGGCGGGGTTTCCATGCAGGAATGCAACGCCGGGTGCAGATAGGCTCAGTACTGAGTAATCTATGCCGTTTGTATCCATTGTTTCTATCTGGGCTTCGATGCTCCATTTAGGTATTATAGCTCCTTCTGACCAGACTTCCGTCCCATTGCGAATTTCGGCATTACCACTGTTTATGAGGGCTTCCCGATAGAAGTCAGGAATAAAGTGGGTATGAACATCAACACGAAAGTTAGAGGTGACATTAAAACGGGCAGTTGCAAGTGTTGAGAAGATGAGGAGGAAGGTAATGGTGGACATGGTGGACATGGTTAAAGATGTAAAGTATCTCCGTGGCTGTAACTGAGAACAATATATATTTGACCCATACTTCTATATATCTGGGGGGAGAAAGAAAAGATTTATATACTTGGTTGTGCACCATGACCACGATTTACATGTAGGTATCACTCGTCGTGGATTCCAGTCCGAGTGACCGGGGCCACCTCCTGTCCGCATTAACCGAAGACACCTGGATATTCCGCAATATGTATGAATCCTGTTTTTAGACCTATTTATACTCGTAGCTTCATGACGTTTCCGAACACGACTGCTATTGCATACCATGCAAAAAAGCGCCAACCCACCTTTTTGTATGTCATGCAATATTGGTCGTGTTCGGAAACGCTATGAAGCTACGAGTACAAAAATTTTACCTCTCGCTGTACGTCTAGTGTATAGGCTATGTTTAGTAAGCGAAGAAGCATGCAGCACTCGGCAGGTACTATCCGATATTCATATGTAGCTAGCTGTATCCGTATGTAAATCATCCACATCTCAGCTGTGATAATAGAGCTTCCTCAAGGATACCCGGGTCTTTTTAGTCTATATAGCATCTTCATGTACCTCCTAGCTATCCGTAAAGATGACAATTGTGAATCATGAGCAACACACCCATCATTGACAATTACTTCCTTGTTATTATCGTGCCAAGACCGAGGCCGGGGTATTAAATAGTACTCCTTTGGGCTTCTATTGGTGGTCCAAATAAGCCCAGAGAGGATTAGAGTTTTCAGTTTATCTAACCTACTCTGACGAGTAAGTGAGGTTAAGGGAATGCCTGGTGATCCACAGTTATCTTAATCCTACATGTATGCGTAGCTAGTATTTGTATCTTCTTACTATACTTTAGATCTTAATTAATATTCGGGTTAAGAGGGTCCGATATAAAGTTGTGATGACTGTGGTGTCGGTCCTAAGCTTTACCAACCAAAGTCCTAGTTTAGTACTAGGCAGTTTTCTCGTATAAACAAACTGCACCGACGGGCGAAATCGTCCAAATCCAGGTTTCTTTCCGTACATGTGATATCATGATGTCAGAGTACCTATATATAGGCTTTCATACTACTACTAGTACTCTAGTAAAAGTCAATTTACTCTGGTAGTGTTCAGTCTGAGACCTAAAACTCCTACCACAGCACGTATTTTTAGGTCTTGGTTCATAGAAGACGGGCCTAGATTAGAGCACCTACATAATGTAGGTACTCTAGAGTACTCTATTTGCACTGCACATATAGATGTACCCGCGACCAGCAACAAGAACCCGAATATGCAGCTGCAAGACTTTGGTGTATTTTTGACTTCTACTCCAATGGAAATTGCAGATTAGGACGTGCATTTTCGGGTTCTTGTTGCTGGTCGCGGGTATCTAGCCATGCTGCGGCGTGGTCGGCGACCTATGTTGAAAGGTTTAGATCATGGGATAGAAAATAATGAGTTATATCCCGTAAAGGAAGACTTAGTTGACGTATGCCGGATTACCAGCAGAATCTGTCATAGCTCTGGCCGAACCTTACCTTAAGATTGAGCCAAAGGATAAGACCAAAGTGTCACTCTGGTCTTGGCAAACCTAACACCCAACCACTCAAGTTTCAACTAGCCAACCATCCACAACTGTCGGATCGAAAACCCTTGCTACCATCGACTGTTACCCCATCGGACCTGGCTTTATTAACTCTTACGCCCGCCATCACCAATAACCCTCTCAGAAGTATGTACTACATGCAAATTTGTGCTTTCGGCCGGCACGCGATTCAAGAGTTCAGCTCCGGGTCAATCTGTGGGGTGTAGGGTGGAAATTTCGATCCCACCCTATGGATTCTATATTGGCGTCATAAACTGTTCTCTCTGGGGCCGGGAGAGTGGCGATCGAGTGATATCTAATGATTTCACACTGAGAAGTAATGACCTGACCAAGTATAGGGATCTATTTCTTTGGATAGATGTGCTTTACTCACCGCTCGACTTAGGTAGGACTAGGGACGAGTTACGAGTAAGAAGGAGTGCAATTATCTCCGACTATTTCTGGAAGTTATTCGTCAACTGGCTCGATGTCTTCAAAGATATGTTCCGATTATCATGGATAGACTTTATTTCATTTGAGCGCTCCTCCTGATGCGATTAATGAATTAAACAAAAAAAAAAGAAAAAAAAGGAAGAGCGTTCCTCCTGGGCCCGACAAGCTCGCGTAACAACATACTCCGCATGGCTGTTCGACCCACCAGACGACCCCAAACGAACCTGAAAATAAGCCCAAGGCTATCTAGTCTATCGAGAAAGGGTTTCAGCAGGAGTCTGATTGGAGGATGAGGGTCGTGATAGATAGGGTGCCGAAGAAAGTGTTTAGAAATAATTTGTTGACGATAATAGGCTACCCTAAAATGACAAACCAACAATCAGAGACCTTCGCCAATTAAGGAGTTCAAGAATCGACCTGATTTTGATTTATGGGAAAAACATGACCCCACTTCCAATCGAATTCTACAAATAACAACGCGCCATGGTTAGGAGGGCTATGCTGGCCATCACAGATCCGAGATGGGTACTCCGAAAGGGCCAATGTACTGAACGGTATCAAGAGTTACTTCTCGACCGGATTTAACTTAGCATCAGATAGTTTCGCATGTTCTTAACGGAGCAAGAGCGAAGGCCTATAGCGGGAAAAAAAGGAAGGCCTTAGCAAATACGTTGGGATTAGACAGCCAGCGCCCTAATGCCGGCTCCTTCATAGGCGTTGGGTCTAAAATTAATGTTATGGAACACGGAAAAATCTAACCCATCTCTCATAGCTAATATATGGGGTAGACCATTACAGGCTTACTATCCGTCGTTGCACATTTGCTTCACGGCCAATCACTCGCCCGATTTATACGCGCGAGAAAATCCTTACCAATGTTCAATAGGTCCGATAAGGCCTTACAATTTCTCGTCTCGTATAAAGTTATTCTCATCGAACTCTTCGGCGAGGTCTCAGGGCCTAGTCTCGGAGCCTAGGCTTGTATATTCCCATAGTGACAGGAGGCAAGGGCATTAGGGTATTCACATCGATTTCTTTGGGGGTAGAGATTTCTCCTTATACCATGACGGACATATACGAGTTACTACTATCTATGATGGGTATTTACAGTTATTTGGTATCAAGTTGTTAAGGTTTGGTATAACGAGTGATAGTACATGACTAAGTATCTCGATTTGGGACGATAAACACATAACAATGCTGGGGTGCAGAAGATCGTCGGAGATCTAAGAGAACAGATAATTCTGTTATTTTTCATCACAAAGAGCTCGTTACTCGCGTTCGTGTGCGAAGCAGGAAATGATCAAGTGGAAGCAATCGATTTCTAAATCAAGACTTTGATAATGCTAGGTTATCATTGAAGTATAGGGACTAGAAAGAAAACAAACTTCGTTAATAACATTAGAAGCTAGCTTTAATGATAAAGACAAGGCAGGAAAAGATTAATGATAATTCCAATTAGCATTGGAACTAATTGAAGTTTTGTGCAGCGCGAGTTGATACATTACGAGCAGACTAGGTTAAGGGCTGCTGTGGGAAATAAATGCTCATTACATTCAAAATACAACATATCATGATTAAAGTAGCTTCATCTGGAGTCTGTAGCGTAAGGAGTTAGATCTTTGGTCAGGGTTGAGTAATCAAGAGGTAATGATAGGATCAACAAGATATTCAAAATTGACGCTAAATATCATCACTACTAAGACTTGATGAAACCAGGTCGACTCGTTAGTAACTGATGAGGTAGTCGGTGCGTTTTGGGACAATTTGAGACAATTCGAGGACATGGACCCGGGACAGAGGGGTCCCACTCGAGGGTCCCGCTCGAGGGTCCCACTCGAGGAACCCGGAGATTACTTCCCATCAGACCCAGCTTCTAGACTCATGGTAAAATCAGGGGCGGCAAAATGTATGATATGCATAGTTGCGATATCGTCCCTATTCTAGCTGATTTTTTTTGACTTGGCTTCGAATTAGGATCAATTATTGATCATGGCAATAAATGATATACGCCGCTTACTACACGTAGTGCATGTGCTACCAACCTGAGGCTGAATAATTTCAATGCAACCCAGGACAGTAAGAAGAGGCGAAAGATAAGATTGTGATGCACGTGGAATGAGTAATGGTGGGATCAGAAAACCGAGTGCGATTATGTGCTGAAACCTACCTCAAATGAAGCCGGGGCGGCGCGCAGGGATTAAGAAGTCCAAAAGTCTTTAGAATTTATAGCGTAGTCTGGGCAGCTTGAACCTAGAAGGCTACTAAATAATGCAGCTTAGATCTAGTACATGTAGTCTACTAAACAAGGCATCTGAAACAAACGGTTTGAAATCGGCTTTGTATAAATAGCCAGGACAGCATATATAGGAAGAAACCCTACCAATAAAAGCACTCAACCGGGTAGTTACTTACATGTAGAGTAGGTATCGTTCAAACTAGTTCAAACACACGGGGATCCGGGACCTTGTCACCGTCATGGTTACATGTACTCTAAGCCAGGCAACCGTCCCATACATATCAAGCTTGTCTTGACATGTCGCTTGGACTAAGTGAAGTAGGATTGGAAGCGATCGATCCCCCACAGTCCTTCACAGCACTGACGCTCGGGTGCAGCCCCTGGAATTCGTCTTCGGTAATTTAGCCCTCTATGCTTGAATACTGAGTAGCTATAGCTAAATGCCAAAAGGCCAAGCCGGAATCGGCACGGACGGATGAATGACGAGCTGGAAAACTCTATCTGGACCTTACAGACCCGAGAATACTAGGGTTAGGGCTGTAGCATGTCTCTCTTATTGACTGATTTGTTCGTTTAGGACATGCAGCCTTGCATCTTTTATTGCAAGTAGTACTTTATGCGAGGAACTACGTTCTGGTTTGTTTCATTTCATAGGCTAGGAGGCCCCATGGCGAGAGGTTCCACAAGACTTGTTAGCTCAGTACTAAGCTCAAATAAGTGAATCAGAATAATAGA